TCCATTTGCTCCAAAATAAATGCTAATTTGCTGAATCAGCATTCACCTTTTATGGGTAAACCCCCCACCCATTTCCGCTTGACGCACGGTTTTCTTTCACAATTCTGTCGTGAATCATCGTGTAAACGGACGTGTGGTCGGTCAGAGTTTTCCGAAACTTCCACCACTATCCCCCCACCCGAAAATAACAAAACAGAAGCAGTTTGACGGCTTTAACCCACTTTAAGAGGCCGACACTCTTGGAGCATGTCCACTGGATTCTTCCCGATTAAAAGTCTTTTCCCTGGGCCGCAGCATAGCGTAATGGCTAGAGCGGGCGGCCCATATGCGGAGCCTCCGCTTACAAGCGGGTGTCCTGGGTTCGATTCCAGCCCATGGCCCTTTCCCGCAGGTCTCCCCCTCTCTATCTCTGCCCCCTTTCCTGTCAAGCTACTGTCATTAAAGGTCACTAGAGCCAACAAAATAAGGGTGGGACGGTTCACAAAATCCACCGTTCGGTTTGATTCACGGTTTCGTGGTCACGGTTTTCGGTTCGGTTCGGTATATGTTGATTGTTAGGAAAATCTATTATGTCTTGTATAGTCAGGTTAAAACTGAAAGAAAAAAGCAGTCTGACATTTGATACATTATTGTGACAGTCTTAGGTTAAAAGTAGGTGAGATTCTGGCATTAATAGAGAGGAAACAGTGCTAATTCCAACATGTGCTTCCCTCTAAATGCAAACTGGTCCCATACAGCAGAATATAAACTGCTGTTGGCGCGTCGGATTTTTATCGGCTACGCTGCTTCGCTTCTTCTTCTTGTTTCCTACTGGTGGTTGGCTTTGGGCGCAGTAGCGCCCCCTTCTGGTCTGGAGTGTAAACGCTTCCCTCTGAGAAAAAGGAGCAGCATGAACCGAACGCAACACACGCGAACCGAACCGAGACAGTCGAAACGAACGGTTCAGATGGTTTTCAGAAACCGTCCCATCCCTACAACAAAAATAAAAAAAAAATAATAAAATAAAAAAATAGTATTTTCCCGTCCAGGAAATAAAGACATAAAAACCGGACTGACCTGGTCGCAGCCGGCGTTGACCAGCTCCTGCAGCATCTGGCGGTTGACCTCTCCGGCCTCGCCTCCGGACTCGTTGGCGAAGGGCATGAGCGACTTGCGGATCTCGCGCAGGGCGCTCTGGTAGTTGTTGAACTTCTGCGGCGGGCGCAGCTGCTGCTGGCGGCCGGCCGGGTCCTTCCCGGCCTTGGCCTCGCCCCCCCGCCCGCCGTCGGGACGCGCCCCCCCGTGCAGCGCCTGGCTCACCAGCTTGGCCGGCTGCTTCAGGCCCTCCTTTATCTCCTG